ACATGCCCCCCACCCCACATATATGAATCCATACAAGAAAACTGAATTTAAGCTCTGCCAGTAGAAGCCTTCTCTACAGTGATATTTTACAAATAACCAGTTGTCTGAATAAACATTTGTGTGTATGTGTGCGTGTAGATACGTGTGTGCAGGTGCATGTGTACTGTGAACCAGAACACAACCTGGGGCGTTCGTGTCCTCCCTCAGGCCCCGCCCACTGTTTTTTGTTTGCTTGTTGTTTTTTGAGTCAGTGCCTGTCACTGGAGAGGCCAGGATGGCTGGCCAGGGAACCCCAGTGATCCACCTGCCTCCTTCCCAGTGCTGGGATCACAAACCTGAGCGAGCACAGGCTTTTGTGTGTTGTTTTTAAGATGGATTTGGGGGGGGGGGGGAAGGAACTCGGGCCCTCGGGCAAAACAAGCACCTTACCAAATGAGCCACGTTCCCAACCCCTGAGTGATTGTCTCTGGCCGTTTTCCACCTGCTCCGATCTCCCTCCCCCCCCCCCTCCCTCCCTCTCTCCCTCCCAGTTTTCTGGTCATCACTAGATTCTCTCAGTGGTGTCTTCCCTTCCAACAGAACCTCTCTTGTACACCTGCTCCATTGTGCATTCCTCCCGCTGAGCCATGTTCTGTGTTTTGGTCAAGGACAAGCTGTGGACAGGAGGCTATGTGGCCTCAGGCTCCAGAGCTTGTATAAGGACACTCTAATGGCCACACAGCCATGCCATTATCTATCTCATATCACCCCGGAGATGTATCCAGGCAGTGACCACATTTGATTTTACCAAAATTCTTTCTTAGAGCACTATTGGATTCCTTATTTGAATTCAAAAGGCTGGCACAGACACTGGAGAGCCTGGGCCTGACCACCGTGAGCATGCTTGCCAGGCTGCTGGGCCCTGTGTCTGGAGCAGCTTCCTTCCACACTAGTGGCCCTGGCTGTCTGCCACAGCACACATTGGGTGGTGTTGAACTGGGGAGAGACTGACCACTAGTCTAATGTCCAAATATCGGAGAGGAGCTCTGAGCCTGCCAAGAAGCGTGCTCCATGAGAGGGAGAGGGAAAGGAGTGAATGAATGAGTGAGTGAATGAATGAATGCAGAAAGGTGTCGACAGCTTTCCATATTCAGCAAACCTTTCTCCATTGCTCCCCCGGAAAAGTCAAGCCCCCTTGCTGTGTCTGCAGGGCTGGTCTGCAAGGACTCTCCTGTGACCCTTACCAGAGGGAACAGGCTGTGGGTTGCACCCCACAGTGACCTGTGAGATGGAGCTGGTCCTTCCTGCCTGCGGCAGCATCTTGGTGGCAGCCCCATAGCTCTGGGATTCTTCTGCAAGGCTCCAGGACTCTCACTCTGACACCACACATCATCCAGGGAGCTCTATTTAAAGCTTTCTCAAGACAAAAGTGAGGAAGACAATTATATAGATTGCAGGGACCAGAGGAAGGAGCTCCGGAGAAAGAGAACCTCAGAGCCAGTAACAATGTAACACAAACAGCTCAGCAAATAACAGAGCAATTGCCAGCTAATAGGACGGAACACCTGAATCCATTCACATGCCTGATTAGACACCAACAACGCACACCCATAGAGGAAGATTATAAGTTGTAATATGTCTTCCCAGAAGCAGCGTCTTAACCACTGTTTGTATACTTCTCCAATTACATTCCTTTAATTCTTTCATTTAGAAAACAGTTTACATTATAATAGCCGGCATCACTTCTGTTTTTAAAACAATTGGTTGTATGTATATTGCCAAATTATGGGTCTGTGGGATATTTTCATAAGTGAAAACAACACAAAAGGGCTTTGAGAAGGATCTTCGGCTGGGAGTCTGTGACCTGAGGGCCTGCAGTATAAGGAGCATCCCTCCCCTCCCATGCTCAGCTGCCCAGCAATCACAAAGGGGCTCAGTGGAGGCAGAGAGACCCTGCTGGGCTCTGGGCCTGGCTTGCTCATAATCCTCTTCTGGCCAGATCATGAGAATATACCAGAGCCAACCTTGAGAAACAGGTCATCATGTCACTCCAGCTGAGAGATAACAGTGGCCAGAGTGTGCGAGAATAGCTGAGTCCAGCCCAGATTCGGGCTGTCCTAACTGAGCCCCTCGGAGGCAGAGCCCATGGAGTTAGAGAGATGCTCCCCATTCTCAAACCTGAGCTCTTTGAGGCCTTTGCCCGTGTTAGGAGGAAACCATGGCTCACCCTGAGAAACTGTGGTGGTTGGATAAAGAGGACAGGGAGGCTCAGAACAAGTGACATGTCCAGACCACCAATTGGTACACGGCTGAGCCAGGGAATAAATCATGCCATCTGGTCACTCGGGGGCCTTGACCACAGTGAACATGGCCTGTCCAGAGTGCCGCTCGACTTGAGACGTCTCCCCCCAGGAGCACCCTTCAGCAGGAAGGGGCTTCTGCAGGAGAAAAACTGGGGCAGATGCCTGCTTTGCTGCTCTCCCGTGGGTGCTGTGCACAAATTGAGCCGAAGCCAGCTTCAGAACCCGGGAAGAAGCAGGAGGCAGGCTGGGATCCCCAGGAGCGTTCTGCAAGGATGCTGTCTCCACGCCCACAGACCATGACCTATAGCAGGAACTGGGATATTTTCTAAGCTGTCATCTTGTATTTCTATTACTTGGATTCTCCATGGTAAGTATGTGTTATATTATTCACTAAAACCACAAACCTCTCCAAGATTCTGTGAGTGATGAACATCAGAAATGAATATGACTGTTCTTTCCTTCTTTCAGCTTTTCTGAATTCATAGATTTCCAAAAGTTAAAACAAAAAGGAAGCCGGGCGGTGGTGGCGCACGCCTTTAATCCCAGCACTCGGGAGGCAGAGCCAGGCGGATCTCTGTGAGTTCGAGGCCAGCCTGGACTACCAAGTGAGTTCCAGGAAAGGCGCAAAGCTACACAGAGAAACCCTGTCTCGAAAAACCAAAAAAAAAAAAAAAAACAAAACAAAAAGGAAGTCCTGCTTATTAAAAAAAAAAAAAAAAAAAGAGCCACGGGGCTAGAGAGATGGCTCAATGGTTAAGAGCACTGACTGTTTGCCCAGAGTATCCAGGTTCAGAGCCCAGCACCCACATGATGGCTAACAACAGTCTATAGCTCCAGCTCCAGGGGATTTGATTGACACCCTCTTCTGAGGTGCACATACATATATGTATGCAAAACATCCACACACATTTTTTTTTCTAAAAAAGAGCAATAAAATGGGCATGGCAACTCAGGCTTGTAATTCCATCCTTTGGGAGGCAGAGGCAGGAGGATCAGGAGCTCAGTCATTCTTGACTACATACTGAGTTCAAGGTCAGCATGGCATATATGAGGCCCTGCCTCTAAATTTTTGTTTATTTATTTATTTTTACTTTATGTGCATTGGTCCATTGGTGTGAGGGTGTCGGGTCCCCTGGAACTGGAGTTACAGACAGTTGTGAGCTACCTACCATGTGGCGGTTGGGAATTGAACTCGGGACCTCTGGAAGAGCAGCCAGTGCTCTTAACCACTGAACCATATCTCCAGCCTCACTAGTTTTTGGTTTTTTTTAATTAAAGTTATTTAAAAGAAAACAGTATTTGCCTCTTTCTCCTGGAACCATCTCAGAAGAAGCAGGGGACCAAATGCTTGGGACTCAGGGCAGCCCTTCCACAGAGGGTGCAGCAGGGGTGGGTACCCGCCTGTCCCAAGCCAGATACACAAGTGAGTTCAAGTCTGCTTTCAATGGCTGTCAACAGATGAATTTTCTGAATTCTCTTTATTTTAACACTTCTTAAAAAAAAAAATCCATGCAAAGGGAAGCTTGTATAAAATTCTTGCTAAAGGGTAGCAAAGATCAGAGGAAAACTTGGGGGACTAGTCTTTAAGCTGGAACCCCAGGAAGCAACTGATACCCTGAGACCCTGACTGCCCCCTCCCAGTAAATCTAGAGCCTCTGCAAACCGGCAACAAGAGCTCTGTGGTCTGAGCAGCTCGGCCACCCTCTCCGCACAGCCCTCGAGTCTGGCAAAGACCATGACTTTCTGGCCAGTAGGTTAGCAAGTGTGACACAGAAGGGTTTGTCTCTAGTGGGTCTGCTGTCTCCGCAGTCGTGACCAAGCTCAGTGAACCACCACAGGACCAGACCCAGGCCATGCAGGTTAGTGGTCCATGAAGCCACATTGGACCACTGGACAGTTCACCTGCAGCGCTAACTCAGAGTTACAGACCACAGTACGCATCAGTTTGCTTTCGGAGGCTAGGTTTTGGGATGACCATACAGATTGCCTTCTGGAGTGAATCTTCTCAGCTAGCCCTGGTCCAAAGTCCTGCGGGGCCAGCACAGAGGGATCCGCTCCTACAACAGGATCCGACATCTGACTTCCTAGACAGTTGTACAGGTGGCAAAGTCGTAACAACTACACCACTGACCAAGCATGTCCTTTGGCCATGTCTCTTTGCCTTCAGTCACTCAACTGAGTCACAGCCTGGAGAGCTGTAGCCACATGCCTGGATCCTATTCAGCCCCTTTATTAGCCCACAGGGCTCAAATCATGACACCTGTGTGGTCCACAGTGCTCTGTGTCTTTATGGATACCGTAAAAGCTAGATTTCTCACTCTCTAAGGTTGATTGGCTATGTCTACCAAGAAAATCTCACGCACCACACCATCTACTCCCTACATCAACAACAAAGAGCCTAGGGTTACTGAGTGCCAGCTGTGCTAGGGTCCCCACTGAATCAGGAAGGCACTGTTGGCCTCATATGACCAAGCCAGTTCCCGCCCCTCGATCCCAGCAGCTGTTCTGGGGCCATGGTAGACTCCTGGGTAGCCACAACTGAGAGATAAGCCTTGTGAAAACATACCCACAGGGAGGGCCCACAAGGAGTGTTTAGGAGTGTGAACAGGTCAAAGGACCCCGTTCACATCCTAACCATGTTGTCACAAGTCCACAACATAGCACATACACTGTCGGGGGGGTGGGGGGAAGAACCCAGGTCACTTCCTGGTGGTGATGTCACAGGTCCCGGACATTCCAGGTATCCGGGAGACCAAGGCTGGGGAAGCTGAAGACCTTCCAGGGACGGGCCTCCTCCTGTGACTGGAGGGACCATGGCAGCGAATAGGGGAGTAGAGACCTTCTTATCTGTCTTCCTGCTGTGCTGCTGGCGAGGAACTGATCTACAGCCAGTCAACAAAACTTCAGGTAGGGTCACGTGGAGGTGGGTAGACAGAAACCTTGGGCCTGGATACTGGGGGAGAGGTCTTCTCCTCTGTACCCTCTTCCTTCCTTGGAACTTGGGGAATGGAGAGAAATGAAAGGTTTTCCGTCTTTGAATGCCTTCCAAACAGGAATGCCACAGAGCAGCTAAATACATTATACACATGTGCTCGAAATGTTCTAACTTATCCCATGATAGAGGAGTAACGTCACAAACCTCCATGCGTCCGTCCTCAGTTTTAATTACTGCACATTTCCCAACTTGTTTTTATATACACATATGTGTGCACACACCACACACATACACATACATACACAGACACACATGCATACACATACATTGATACATATATACATCAAATGTGCACCCACACACGTGCACATGCACACGCGCACACACACACACACACACACACACACACACACACACACACACCTTTTTTTGGGGAACAGTTAGCACTGTCCCGATATCTTATGACTCTCTGTGAAGTGGGTAAAGCATATTTTTATATGACCGTCACGTCCCTGTCACGCTGACCAAGTTAACAAATTCCTTTATTGCACCTAATACCAGTGAGAGACACAGTATTCCCGGTGCTTGTTAATGATGGCCATGTAGCCAGATGTGATTGTCTAGGCCTTTAATCCCAGAAATTCTTGGCCTGCTAACCTAAGGGCACTCTGCTGTGGGCAGACAAGGGTGGTCAGTGGGGGAGGGGCCACACGGTCAGGATCTGCAGGCAATCTGACATTGGCAAGGACTTCCACAGGCATGACTCTGTAGCACACCTGGGAAGGCTAAATCAGAGCCTAGGTCAGGCAGGCTGAGTGAGAAAGACCTGGACAGAAGCAGACCGTGGAGTCAGTCCCTCCTCATCCTCTGCCCTTTGAACAGTGTGGTTAGCTTTGTGATTCCCCCTCTGGGTTTTGATGTTGTACAGCCAGGAATGTAGCTAGGAGAATGTCTATGAGACAGAAGAGAGACTAGACAAACAATATCCATAAATTAAAAGAAAATTAAAATGAGCCATAACTGGGGCACGACAGCCCACGCCTGGGACCCCCGCAGTTGGAAGGCAGAGGCAGGAGCTGCAGAGCCCAGAACAGTGGGAAGGATTCCCAGATGCCAGGTCAGAAGCCGCTTTGGCCGACAGCGAGGGTGGAAGGGGTCCCAGCATAGTGCGAACACCAGCATTATCCTTGGCTGTGCCTGAGGAGTGCAGGGAGGTGACTCCTGTGTCCTGAGCTTCTCCACACGGTCCTCAGTGATCAGCAGATGTCAGCTGTCAGTGCCCCAGGTCAGGAGAGAAAGAAAACACAGACGATCAGGAGAAGGCAACTCTGCCCATAGCGGACACCAGAGAAACCCAAGTTCAGGACACACTCCAGATTCATGGACAACGACCAAAAAAGAAAGCAAAATAAAAGTTTACCAAGAGACCAGGAACGGCAGCAGAGGAGCTGGGGCGGGGGAGTGGGAACCACAGGTGTACCCTGCAGTTTCCCATTAAATCCTATTTACAATCAAAGATCACAAAGAGATGTGTCTCCTGACCAGAAATCCCACCCGCCTGGCTTCAGCCTGCATATAAGCAAAAGCGCGGTGTGAGTGGTATTCGATCTTGACGCTGTGATTGGGTGTGCTTTCTTTCTTGGGACTTTCTATAGAGAATCTCAGATTCGGCTTCTCCAATCCTCTGGCAGGCTAGGTGCTACCAGCAAGGGGATCGTTAGAAAGCCTGGGGTGAGGATGGACTCCTGTAAGTTTCCTAGGCTACTAAGAAGTGACCTTCCCATTTTCCATAAGATCGGGAGCCCAGGGAGCCAGGTGCCAGGTGGACTGGTCTAGGCCACAGCCTCAGTTCCTCACATTTGATTCTAAGTATCTGGAGTGGGAAAGCCAAGCCGACGCCTTGGCCATGTGGCCAGCATCTCCAATAGTGTTCTGTTACAAGGGAAAATAGCTATGGAGTGCGTGTGTCTGTGTGTGTGCACATTAAACATTCATGCATGTAAGTGCAGGTGTATATGGAGGTCAGATGTTAACATCAGACGTCTTCCTTAATTACTATCTGCTTTTTTTTTTTTTTTTTTTTTTTAAGGAAGGTTATCTCTTTCTAAACCTGGAGCTCATTGATTTGACTAGACCAGCTGGCCAGTGAGCCCCAGGGAACCTATTTTTCTCTACATCCCCAGAAGTGGGATTATAAGCATGTGCCACCACATCACACCTGATTTTTATGTGGGTCCCAGGGATCCGAACTCAGGTCCTGATGTTTCCACAGCAAGCACTTTGCCAACTGAACTGTCTACCTGGCCCAAGAAGAATAGCATCACGGGGCTGGAGAGATGGCTCAGGAGTTAAGAGCACTGGCAGCTCTTCCAAGGACCCTGGTTCAATCCCCAGCACCCACACGGCAGCTCACAACTGTCTGTAACTCCAGTCTCAGGGAATCTGAGGCCCTCTTATAGCCTCCACTGCATCTGGCATGCAAGTGTTTCCCTAGACACGCCTGCTTGCAAAACACCCACATGGAGTGGGGAGCTGTCCTGGCTATGACCTTGAAGTATCACCCCTGGAGAGGGAGCAGGCAACTGCTCTACCTGCCTATGACCTTGAAGTACGTGCCCCTGGGGCGTGGCTCTTGGAACCCTTAAGAACTGAGATGCACGTACTGGGAGTTCTCTCTCTCCCTCGCGATTTCTGGATGCTGAGATGGACCAGGCGAAAGAACAGCGTGGACCATAGCTCAGCTTTCCAGGACCCTGTGATAAATCTCCCGCGCTGTAGTGAGTTTTTACCCCCTAACAAATTCCTTGCCATTTAAGCAGACTCCAAGGATTTCTCGCTTTACGCACTTTTATCATAAAATAAACAGATTATTTTTTAAAAGAAAGAATAATATCTTATTGAACTTATGCAAATACTTACATGGCTATAAAATAAATGTTGATAGAGACTGTAGAGAGATCAGGTGGCGAGAATATTTTTTTGTAAAGATGTAGTCATGAGGGGCAGGAGAGATGGCTCAGCAGCTGAGTCCTTGCTGCTCCTTCAGAGGAGTAGATTTTGCTTCCCAGCACCCATGTTGGGTGGCTCACAACCACCTATAACTCTAGCTCCAGAGGTTCCAATACCCTCTTCTGATCTCCATACACACACACACACACACACACACACACACACACACACACACACACAGCACAGCACACAATCACACACACACAAATAAGTAAATAAATCTTAAAAAATAAATATACTTTAAAAAGTACAACTTCAGGCTGGGCAGTGATGGTGTATATTCTTAACCCCAGCACTCTGGAGGCAGAGGCAGATGAATCTCTGTGAGTTCAAGGCCAGGCTGGTCTATATAGTGAGCACCAGAACAGACAGGGCTATGAAGAGACCCTACCTCCAAAAAAAAAAAAAATCAAAACAAACAAGGATAATTTCAAAGCTGCTCTGAGTTAGTGGATAACTATCTTTGAATGTGCAGAATAAGCATAAAAGAACCAACAAGGCTTCAGACAAAGGCTCTGAAACTGTAGCCACTTGGCCCTGCTCCACCAGGTCACAGTCTATGCTTCAGGGACCCATCTGCTCCTTCCTGTATACGGTGAGAACCCCGAAGACCAGCAGGCAATCTTGGGGCCATTGGCAGTCTAATTCTGGTCTTTTGGTCAGAGTGTCCTTGCAGGCAAGCTTGGAGTATAGCTGAGTATGCCTGCTTTCAGAAAAGCATCCGAGGAAAACAGGAATTGTCTGCGAAGGACCCAGGCTTCAGGACCTGCCATGTGTCCACCCTTCTGAGGTCAGCAGGGAGAGCTGGTCATTTTCACATCATACAGTGTTTTTTATCAGTAAGTGCAATGATAACAGATCCCACAGTCCAGGGACCTAGCATGGCTAGTAAAGACAAGGCACATCTCTGGCAATCTCAGACAGCTTCTGCCACCTGACATATCTTCACAAAGGTGTGATGCAAAGGATTCAACGCTGCTTACTCCACAAAGCTCCCTGTACCATTTCACATCACAAGGAAGCTAATTAGCTTAAGATCTGTCTTTCACAGGATGACAGAACAAATCCCCGGAGGCTTTCCAGGGGCCTCTGGAAAATTTCAAAGTTAGCTTGAGGTCAGAAAGACTGCATTAAGAATTTAATTCAGAGGTGTCAAAAAATGTCAGGTGCTTTGAAGAGTTGACCGAGATCGTGGGCTACTATGAAACAGTACTTAGCTTCCCAGTTAACCAAAACGACAACGATTTTCCAGGGAAATAGAGGAGATAAGTAGTGGTTAAATAACCAACCTTCCCTCTCTCAATATTGAGAGGGTTCCACTTTCTTAAGTAATAAAAAGTTTGAAAAGACAACACGAAGCACAGGAAATTATTTTGGTAAGAACGGAGCCTTTGTCTACAAGGGAGGTTACTCAACAGGTAAAGAAAACACTTGTAATCTCTTATGAAGAGGAGGCCAATAGTCCAAGGACTCCTCCGTCCTTTCAGCGGAGAGAGAAGCAGAAGCCGTTCCACATGGCCGCACGCCTGATACCGGAGCTCATTTCAAAACCTGACAATGGCCATCCATTTACCCAGCCCGACCATGGGAGATTAGATTTCTCTTTTTTTCTCATAGACCCTTCACACCTTACCCAACCCATTTAGGCTTTTTGTTCCTTCCCCCCCCCTCTTCTTTATTAAATAACTTTTAAACTATTTATGACAAAATGACTTTCTTCTTTCTTTAACAAAGATTCATCCTTTATGTCTCGTGGCTTCTCTTATCAAACACAGACCACTTTCACTGAAACCTGCTTGCAAAGTCAGGCTCCCCTTCCTATGAGTCACAGGAGTTTTAATTACACACATAAGTAGTAATTTTAATGGAGAAAACTTAGAAACTATGAATTATCCATCACAATAATTGGTGGCAAGTTTCCTGAATTCCCATCTTACAAAGCTTAGAGCCTTGAAGGTTTCATTGTAGCAGTGGGTGTGGTCGTGTGTCTTTGTATAGGAGTGCATGCATGTATTCACGTGTGCACAGTCGGGTGGAGGTCAGAGGACGGCGTCAAATGCTGTTCCTCAGGTACCTTCTACCTTGTTGGAGACAGAACCTCTCACTAGCCTGGAACTTGGTCAGATAGACCAATCTGGCTCTCAGGCTCGGAGGAGTGGGCCTGCCTCTGCCCTCCCTCAACCCATGGCTGGGGTTGTAGGTGCATGGCAACATGCCTGGCCTTTTCTGTGGCGTCCAAGGGGATCTGAATTCAAGTCCTCACACTTGGAAGGGTAGCACTTCATCAACAAACCCATCTCCCCAGCCCTGTCAGCCATAATTTTTAGTGTGGCAGAAGCAGCGTGCTTATGAACAGACCCAAATACCTCGTTTCTCTGTGTGTAAGAAATGAGAAGGCAAGAGTGTGGGTGTGAGCTTGTTCTGAGAGAACGTCTCAATGGTTCAGATTACTTAGACGTTCTCTAAGAGCCCACTAGTTGTGTCGGCGCTAGGATGGTTAGAACTGGCCTCTAAGTAGCTGTTCTCTTTCTCTGGACACCCAGAGCCCAGACTGGGGAGGTTCGGGTGTTCACAGAGTATCACAAGCCACAGAACTCAGTGAGTGTTGAGAGAGATGCTTCAAAAATGGAAGGGAGCACACACTCAGGAGGAAGTGCAGGCTTCTCAAGGCAGATTCCAGTTGTGTCTTAACCAAGGGCTGGAGAGATGGCTCAGCAGTTAAGAGCACTGGCTGTTCTTCCAGAGGACCCAGATTCAATTCCCAGCAACCACATGGCAGTTCACAACTGTCTGTAACTCCAGCTCCAGGGGATCTGACACACAGACATACATGCAGGAAAAACAATTCATATAAAATTTAAAAAATAATTTTTTAAAAAAGTATTTTAGCCATAGCTATCTATATGACCATGGTGACCTTTGCAGTTATACCGTCCAAAGGCTGTCATCTGTCTTTGTTTTTCTCTATGGGAATTTTACATTAATACATGAGATCACAAGGTATGCTGGGTTACACAATATAGACCTACAGGCTGACAAGATAACTGGTCATAACATGGGTCAAAAAGGCTAAGGAATTTCTACCAATGGCTCATTAGGACATCTAGGTTTTGACTACAAACATGGATTATCTTGTTTGTGAGACTTACTCAGAAGAGCAGGTCGTTGAGAAAGGAGAACAGTGAGGCCGAACTCAAAGGATCACAAATATTTTAGCTTTAATCTGTCTCCACACGACTGACTTCTCTCTTGGGTAAAGGAGTATTATCCTTTGCAGGTAACTGGGTCAGCCATTTTTGTGGTTCTTAAACAAAATCCAGGGGCAAGAGGCTCATTCCTTTTCTCATGTCTCCCTAATGTTCTCCATCTTTCTACCCTGCACCCAGATACCCAGTCCACATTGAAGTACACCCACTGTTTCAGAATGCCCTTTACGTCAGTTGAAGCCACACCCCAAGCAGGGACCCATGTGACTTCTGACACACTTCTGAGCACACTCAAGCCACATTCTTCCTCCCCATCGGCTTTCCTCACAGATAATCAAGGACCAAGTCTCACAAAATGAGCCCAACTAGGGTCCCCAGCTCCATCTCCCGGGGTGAGCAACTCATCCCTGACTCCCACAGGGTCCGTGGGACTCTCCTCAGAGTGCAGCATGTTGTGCTGGCCTGAGTGCTAATAGACACAGCCAGCACTGGTCTGGACAGGAGAGTCTAGCCTGGTTCACTATTTATACAAGGGCAGGTGGTCTCCATGGTCCAACAACACTGTGAAGTATGTCTGTATTTCTACTTTTCTCTTTCTTAAGCTCTGAGGTGCTTACTAGAAAAATGTCATGAGGTCCCGGGGCCAGGAAGGTCTAAATTTGGCACAGCACACATGTCCTTATTGATGTCTCTGCCGTCACTGCCTGTCCATGCCCGTGTATAGATGCCAAAACCAGCTCTTGGGTGTCTCAGCAAATGCTCAGCAGGTGTTTGTTGAGGAGCTTGCTGTTGCTGCTGCTGCTGCTGCTGCTGCTGCTGCTGCTGCTGCTGCTGCTGTGGCTGGTCACTTTCACCTCTTGAGTCCTGGTCAAAGCATTGATGACATCCAACATCTTCTCCAGCTCGAGACCCAGTTTAGGTCTGCGTGACTCCTGTTGTTGTTGTTATTGTTGTTGTTTTACCAGCTTGAGACCTGGATGAAATCTGGGTGAATCTCAAGGTCCTCCCAGTGAGACCTGGTCATAGCCCTACGTGACAGTCAAGGTCTCCTTCAGTTGAAGCGCCGATGAAGGAGCAGTTTTCACATTGCTTTAAGAGAAACACAGGTAAACTTCTCCCATCCTGGGGTATTCCCACTGCTTGGCAGGAGAGGAGCTGTGCATGCTATAGTGTGTGGGTCCCTCACAGGGAGGTGATGGCCACTAAGAGGAAGGACAGCAGTTGATGTGGCCCTCATTATGACTCTCTCGTATTCACTCAATTAACCTGAGTGAACTCAGAACTCAACAGTGAACTTCACGAAGCCAGAATGTGCTGATGTGGACAATGATAAGATATCGGAGTGTCCTGACCTTGTGGGTGTGTGCTGTCTGGAAGCTGTGACTCTCTGGAGGAGGGGACAACAGGAAAACCATGGCAGAGCAGCTACATTTGACAATGCACGTTAACAGGCAGGACACCATGAGCATACACACCACGCATGTGCACACGGCTGACTTGCACAATGCTTCCATTGTGATTATGGGACAGACACAAGATGAAAAGAATATTTTTAACAAAGTGCTGGCGCTGCGCAGCTGTACCCATTCGTAATGATCCATTAATGTCTCCTGCAAAGAGAACTGTACTGTTTGTTTGGTTTACCGAGGTCAGCACACTGGGAAGCAATTGTCATCACCGTCACAGACCTCCTTACATACTTCCCTTTGTTCTGAGCCGTGCAGATGAACACATTGGGATGCAGATTGCCCATCATTAAAGCCTTTGAGAACAGCTTTGTCATTGGTTTAGCGGCAACTTTACTTCTCCCAGACAGAGCTCTGTGTCTCAGAAAGGGAAGGGAAGGTGGCCCTGCTTGCCATCTTCGGGGGGTCCCAGGACCTGAGAGCTGGAGGAAGAGGCCAACCCTGAGCTCAGACTAAGGGATGCACCAGATCAAGAGACACCACAGCCCCTGAGATAAACAAAGGTCATGTCAGAAGGAGGACGTGTGTGCTGGATGCTGCAGAGGAGAAACTGGTCCTCACAATTCCCATAGTGTCTAAATACGGCTAGACCCTATATGCCCAGCACAGCTCCTCCTGTCCATCAGGAAGCAGACATCACAGATAAGACAGCCCTGGACTCTGGAGACAACTGCCATCCAGAACTCTACAGCTCACTCATCAGAGACTCCACTTCTTAACTGCAGACAGAGCACCCTGGAGCGCTCTGCTCACGTGGGAAGAACGAGGTGACCAGCCTCTGGCCTCCCCCTCCCCCTGAGAGAACCTCAGGTAGTATAAGTGAATGTGGAGGGTCACCCGGGGCTCAGAGAAACACACTTAGGAGGTGTTTTCTCATCACAGGACAAAGTGAGTATTTGGCTGGCGACATGGAAAGCCTCAGTCAGAGGCTGGGCAAATGCTTCTTCCCGCTGTGTGCCAAGCTGGGCTCTGTGTTCTCAGACGGGATCCCAGGCCGGAGTTTCCCAGTCTGGTGGCCACCCAGATGGTGTCACCAGCCATGCAGGAGGCAAAGCGCAGCTTCCTACAAAACAGCGCATGTGACCCTCTTCCTTCTTTGCCCCTGTGATAGAGCTGAGCTGTCCCTGAGAGTGGACACTGTCTTACCATCCACACGGATGACTCCAGTGACCAGGAGGGCAGGTTCTACTCAGGGCACCTGGGGAGATCATGGGTTCTACCCACACAGCCGTCCCATGGGTAATGTCTTTCCCATCCTCCATATGAGAAACTCAAGTCCCAGAGGGCTTCCCTCAGCACATGGGAAAGAACAGCACTCCACACAGGATCCTTCCTCTAGACCGGGCTGGGGCCATCCCTCACAACTATCCGTTCACAGAGAGGTGGGTGAATGAATACTGTAAAACTGTAGATTTTCATCCTCTCCCCCCTCTCTCCCCACCCAGGTCCAGTTACTGACGACTCACTCAATTCAACAAATGAAGAGATGCCTGAAGTGTTTGGTAAGGATTCCCCATACAGAACCTGGTATGTGGTAAGAGAATGGGACCTTTCCCAAATGACCTACCACCAGTTACAGATGTGGGGGGAACTGACTTGCTTTGAGGCCAGAGCCAAGGTCTCCTGTCCTGCAGCTTTAGTGCCAACATCAGAGCCAAATTTACCCTACAGTGTGAATACCATTGGTCTGACCAAAACTGTCCCACAGAGATGGAGCATGGATGTAGGTAAAGTGCTGGTATCCATACTCCAAAGAACATGGCAAGGACACTAACTTTAACTGCAGTCTGTGGACCGGGATCCTGACCCTGGGATAAGCAGGCCACCTGTGGGCTCCAGGTAGTTCCCGAGCGCTGTCCCTGGTTCCGAAAAGCATCCTGCTGGAGAGACAGGCTGCGGCCAGGTGCTGTGGTTTAGCTCCCACTGCGGTCTCACACCGTACAGGGCACCTTATCAAAGCCATGAGATAAACTTGTCCCCAGTTTCAGAGCAGGGCCACTGAAGGTCAGAGGTGTAAAGAAAATCATGTGACATTATATCTGACTGAGAAAAGATGCAGCTTGCGTCTGAGGTTTTTTTGACCTTATGTCCAGAACACTTACGTTAGAGGCTAATTGGAAAGAGCAGAGTAAAATACAGCCACATTGGGGTAAGACAAGATGCTCACTCATATTAGGGGACAGGCAGGGATGGCACAGAACGGCCACAGGACAGGAAGGAAAATCCTGACTATGTCCGGAGCCGGATATTTTGCATTTTGTTGTGAAGGGTGTATTAATCAGTTTTCTATCACTGACAAAATATCTGAGGTAATAATAAACTTATGAGGAGAATAAGGGCTACTGTGGCTCAGTTCTCGGAGCTTCCAGTCAATGATTTGTTAGCCTTGCTGCTTGGAGTCCTGTAATGGAAGCACACACGTCATGGATGTAATGTGTAGCGTACACGGTGGGGGGGGGGGGGCACAGCCCAGTGACCTCAAGGCCTCCTATTACATCTCACCCGGAGGCACCATCTTGTCGCAACAGCGGCAACCAAGCTTTTAACACACATGCCGTGATGGCTGCTCTTGACTGTCACTTAAGTAGATGAAGAGGTGCCTAGGAGATGAGTATGGCACACTTGTAGATGTGCCTGTGAGGGAATTCTGGAAACAAATGGATCGCAGATGCTGCTCTGGTTAATGAATGATTTAATCTACAGATGGGTTCTAAACTTGAGGACTATTAGGAAGTGGCAGAATTCTGGACTGTGGGACTTGCTGGAGGAAATAGGTTATGGTTGTGTGTCCTTGGGCACTGGATCTTGCCATGGCCCTTTCCTGATGCTGCTCTGACCTGCTCCCTGTTGACATGGCCCAGTAGCTCCTGTCAAACACTCCTAACCGCCATAAGATTTTGCCTCACCGAAGGCCAGAGTCAATGGTGTCAATATCCAGAATCAATATCTTGCCCTCTTAAGTCATTTATGTTGGGTAACTTGTCCCAGGAACAAACTCTTATGCAGAAAGTTGACAGCAATGATATGGGGTCATTGCAATGACTAACCTTAATAATATGATTCTGTAGCCTCTGGAATTGATTTGGGGGGTGGAATTGGAAAAAGTTGAAAACGTGAACTAGAGAAAGCTTGGGATACTATAAACTGGGCTTAAAGGGTGATTCTGTTGGGAGTTCAGAACACCAGAATGCAGTAGGAATGTAGACAGTGGAGGCCAGGTGTGCTGGGTGGTTTTATGTCAACTTGACACAAACCAAAGTCATCTGGGAGAAGGGAACCTCAATGAAGAAAATGTATCTGTAAAATCAGGCTGTACATAATCCTGTACGGCATTTTCTTAATTAGTGATTGATAGGGAAGGACCAGCACATGATGGGTGGTGCCATCCCTGGGCTGGTGGTCCTGGGTTCTATAAGAAAGCAGGCTGAGCAAGTCATGGGGAGCAAGTCAGTAAGCAGCACTTCTCCATGGCCTCTGCGTCAGCTCCTGCCTCCAGGTTCCTGCCCTGCTGGAGTTCCTGTCCTGACTTCCTCCAGTGATGGACGATGATGTGGAAGTGGAGGTGAAATAAACCCTTTCCTCCCCGAACTACTTTTGGTCATGGCGTTTCATCACAGCAAAGCTATAAACCCAAACTAAGACAGCAGACTTAGGAAGTTCCATATGGACATGAAGACCCTGTTGGGAACTGCGCTAAGTCTTTCATTCTCACCAAGAACTTGTCTATCTTTGGGCACGTCTTGCAGTTTTATGGGAAACTGGGTTAAAAGGTAATGAACTCATTAACCCAGCAGAGGCAATTGTAAGTCAGTCCTACATTTAGACTATGGCATGGCTACTACTGGATGCTTTTAGACAGGTTTTTCAATTAGAACCAGGAGAAAGGACGGAGCAGAAAGACTTGAAAAGTTTGCAGGCTGATCAGAAACCTGTGTAAAGTTAGGGCTAAGGAAGGCGTGGTTTCTGGAAAGAGTATGGCTATCAAAAAAAAGCCAAGGACCCTGATGCATCAAAGACCTTGTAGGAGTTGGCCAGATCCATCATAGGCTCAAGTTTTGAAAGGGCAAACTTAATTGAAACTTTTTTCTTTTGAGAAAATAATGCCCCTGGGGCACACTGCTCACCATGGGGCTGTTCACCTGGGAAGCTGTTTCCCAGCATTCTTTTCACAGTGCTCAGTCACCTAGCGTTAAGACATCAACACAGTCAAGGTCCAAGTAAACCTAGTATTTGCTCACATTGACTTCATCTATACGATGCTGTCTTTGTAGACATACAGAATGCAAGAGTTACAGTTTCATGGAAGCTTCCAACCAGATTTCAAACAATAGCCTGAGAACATATATCAAGGTCAAATTCCCTGCAAGAGGGTAAACTTGAGATTACAAACTTTAGGCTGCAGTAGAGACCCAGGAACATGAAATATTTGTCAATGAAATCCACAGGCAATGTATACAGAGAGGCCAAGAAAGGAGTCATGTGGACTGCAAACAGTCAAGCCACAGGGACGGGAGCACCCAAGCTCTTTTGAGCTCATGTAACACCGCTTGCCTCAATGCCAGACATGGATCCACCAAACTCAGTGTTCCCCCTGCTGTATTTTGGTCTTGCTTTGGTGTACTTTTTCTTTGCTGTTCTGCTATGCTCCTGTTTTCCCTTTGGGAATGGGAATGTGTACTCTGTGACATTGCACTTGGAAGCAACTTGTACATCTTTACGGAGACTTACAGATGAGGATTGCCTTCGGTCTCCAAAGAGTCTTTGTGCTTGGACTTTAGAAATGTTGACTCTGTAAAGATTATAGGCACCTATGAAGACAGACGGATGTATTTCGCATCAGGAGACCAATGAAAGGAGATGTCTTCGGGTGGAAAGTTGACAAGGGGTCTGTTTGTTAGTCATCTTAACTCAGATTGACTGGACTGAGGCTGTCGGAAGTGCTCCTTCCTTGGGTAGACAGTGTCTAACCGAGGAGATGTGTTCGGGTGGAAAGTTGACAAGGGGTCCGTTTGTTAGTCATCTTAACTCAGATTGACTGGACTGAGGCTGTCGGAAGTGCTCCTTCCTTGGGTAGACAGTGTCTAACCGAGGAGATGTGTTTGGGTGTAAAGTTGACAAGGGGTCTGTTTGGTAGTCATCTTAACTCAGATTGACTGGACTGAGGCTGTCGGAAGTGCTCCTTCCTTGGGTAGACAATGTCTAACCGAGGAGATGTGTTTGGGTGTAAAGTTGACAAGGGGGTCTATGTGTTGGTAATCATAACTGTCAGGTTGACTGGACTGAGCCTGTTGTAAGTGCTCCTTCCTTAGGTAGACAACATAACTGTTTCTCATAAGAAACAAACTGAAGCTTCATGCTACTAAAGTTCACCCTGAAGAGCAAATGAGCTGAGTGAGTTTGCTTATGGAGCACTAGCAGGAACCTCTGGTGACCCCAAAGCACACAGGAAAGTCTTCATCCAGCATGGGTTGCGTCTTTTCCTATTCAGATGGGGCTCCCGTCAATGTGCCTTCCCTTGGCTATATATATATAGCCCCTCCGCAGGACTCCAGATGCCATGTACAGTCAGGGCAGAATTGCATACACATGGTGGGAAGGGTGGCTGATACTGAGGTAGGAGAGCAGTAACCCTTCCCACACCCTCTTTCAGTGAGGGAATGTCAATCATCAACAAGCCCAAGCAATGACTCCTTGCAAGCAGGAATCAAGAAGATGGTAGCTTCATCAGATGTTTTGCTTGGAGGGCTGCATCCTGCAGGGACTCCTAGAAGATTATTGCAGTACACTTCTGTGTGTTATGTATGAGAGGGCACTTCCAGAGATGGCTAGATCCTGAAGGCTGTGACAGTGTGACTGGTCTAACTGGCCAGTAGATTCCAAATTTCAATCCATTGTTGGGATGTGATGGAACTGTGCTGTGGAAGATGAGAGATGAGTTAGAGGAAGTTCCCAAGTTCCTTCCTGGTGGTCTTCATTTGGCTTCCTGGCTGCCAGGATGAGAGCATTTTTGTACATGCCCCGATGTACTGAAACCTCTGAAACTGGGAGCAGAATTACTCCTTCCTCTCTGGAGTTGCACCTTGGGTAGTGGATCACAGAGATGACCTAGCTAACTAAAACATGAACATGGGGCCACTCAACAAATCGGGGCAAGGCTTAGGAGATAGCCAGATTGTGCCCACTTCTCTGAAATTATTTAGGGAGGCAGAGACCAGCCCATCCAAGATGAAGTTCTCTAGAAAGCCCACCAATGCCTTGGGTTCCTGTTTTCTACCTACAGTATTCACAGACTGCCCGAAGTGCGAACTGTGCATGAGGCATGCATCCTGCCTTACCGGCTCTAACATGTTCTTATATACTTTCTCAAGATGAAATTATTGCCCAAGAGATTTTGGAGCCAAACACATCAGCATCGAATGAAACACCAACAACAAAACGAACAACCCGAACAACAAAACCAACCAAGGAAAAAAGCAAGTATACATACCCCTTCCCCCCCATAATTGTACATATTCCTAGGGACCCAAGGTGTTGCCTATGTAACTCTATTTGAGCATTTACTTGAACCAACTATGGATACATGAGAGACACTGTGGCCTGAGACCAAGGGAGGAGTCACCTCCAAGGCAGCGTGCCTTGTTTCACTCTGAGGTGATCGCTGAGTCACATTCCTGTGCATTCTGGGGTTCAGCATGTAAATGGGGTTCAGCCACTTCAGGAACACAGGCTTACAGATGAGCCAGGTCATTACAGTTTAACACCATCTCATTGCACTCTGTTGCATTTGTTTAACTCTGTGAAGCTGTGTTACTGTGCCTGTCTAAAACACCTGATGGTCCAATAGAGCTAAACAGCCAATGGCAAGGCAGGAGAAAGAGAAAGAGAAAAGGGGGCTGGCGGGAAGAGAGAACATATAGAAGGAAAAATCTGGGAGAAGGGATCTAGGAGCAAGAGAGGAAGGAGGAGGACTCCAGGGGACAGCCACCCAGCCACCCAGCCACCCAGCCACCCAGCTACACAGCCAGCAACAGAGTAAGAGGAAGATTTACAGAAGTAAGAGAATGGGAAATCCCAGAGGCAAAGATTTATGGAGCTAATTTAAAGTTAAGGAAAAGTTTCTTGTCAAAGAAACAAGCCAAGCTAAGACCGGGCATTTATAAGTAAGAATAAGCCTCCATGTGTGATTTATTTGGGATCTGGGCGGCAGCCCACCCCCCCCCCCCCCCCCCCGCCCCAGAAGAGAAAAAACAACCAACAGCAGCACTCACCTACAGCTCCCAAGGGAGCACAATCCTTCTGCTGTGCCATGTGGCTGAGGTAAAGCCAGGTCAGTCTATGATATGCCCAAACCAAGAACAACAGCGGACAGAGACAAAGTGCATGCTTTGCAAAGTACAGCTCCACACTGCACGATTGTGCAAATAGATGGTGTGATGGACAATGGAGAAGGAGAGGTATGGGTTAAGAAGCCCTGAGGCTCTGTGGGAAATGCACTCAAAGGCATTTTTTTTTTTTTATGTTCAGATGTGACTAGATTTTAAGGGTTTGCTCACTGCACATCTGCCTGGACATAAACCACTGGGTTCAAAGGAGTTAGATGACACATGACTCTTTAAATATTAATTTCCCAACACATATTTTCAACTAGGACTTGAATCCTGTGCCATCCTTCCAGCCCAGCATTGTGAAATAGGAATTAGGTTGCCCCCAACCCCCAAAATCAAGTGTGTAACAAGGAAACCCTTCCCTGTTTCTTTCCATCTTCTTCATCCAAGATTCTGGTATTGATGATAACTACCAAGAAGATGGCTCTGAGAATTACCATGAAGTAGTAGAGAACTCAGAACTCTCGTCTCTGAACAAGGAGAAATTCGAAAGTAATGGTAAATATGATCTAACCATCTCCCCTGCCTGAGCTAGGACACTACCAGGGAGCCGGCATCAGATGCACTTGGTGGCTGCTCCACCTGAGTTAAGTAGCCCTGCCCTGAGGCTGAGGGCCCCCTGGCTCCTCAGCTCTGCCCTGGACTCAACCCTCCACAACCAGCAGAAATGTCTTCTCCCCGGTGTGTGGAAGTCAGGCATGGAAGAGCAGCCTTGCTGCAGGCTTCCAGCCAAGTCACCTCTTCTCTGTGGTGGAAGGAGACAGCAAGACCCCATGGCCCCGGGAGTCAGGAAAAGCCTCCCTCTAGCAAAAGCAATGCACAGTGGCTCTGGGAAGTTTGCTGTTCAGGGGCTGATAGAGCTTTTTTTGGCCTTAAAGCTTAGGTTAGATTAGGGTTAGGACTAGGAAAGGATTAGGACTGTGCAGGGTATAGGACTTAGATGTAGTACTCTAAAGTCTGACTCACATACAGAACCAGACCAAGGTTCCAAATCATGGTGGTTTCTGGCATGGGGCAGAGGAGGTCATTAACACATACCCCTGAGCCCACTCTAGAACTCTGTTTGGGCCCTGGACCCTGCATTTACAACCCACTCCCCACATAGCTTCTCCAAGGACTAGCCTCTGGTGTTGGAATGGATCTAAGTAATAGTTTCATGGTGTAAACACAAACATGGTTCTACTTAAAAATGAGTGTTTAATAGTCCTGAGCTTGTCCCACTCAGAGGTTTGGACAAATTGCCGGATGGTTTGGCACAGCATTTGCCAAACAGTAATTCTTCGTTCACTTACTGTCATTTAGTAATTAGGATTATGATCTAAGATCTAAGCAATAGCCACTTCTTCTCAGTTACCTTATTTACTCATGATCCTGACACAGTCACTAACGCTTAGGCACTAATACCAACTATAGCTGATAACTGTAGTCATTTCTTCCTATCCTTGGCCTTGGGAGTTATTCCCATGTTCATTGCCCACCCCTAAGATGCTTGGGTCTTATCTGGTGCCTCCCTGCCCCTGCCTAGCTTCTTTTTGCTAGGTAAGTCACCCTAAAAGACTAAGAACCAGATATGGTGGCATTGCTCAGCAAGCCAAGCCAGGAGGGCTGGGGACATATGCATACATCTCTGTGTCCATTCTGTCATTTTCTTCCTCTGCCTTTCTCCCCATGGCTCACACAAACACAGGCCTCTGTAGGTAGGATATTTTCAGTCGCAGTATTTGCGAGCTGGTAGGGCTATGGCAAACAGCCTGAAGCTTAGAGATTTCCACATGTTGGAAGGGTATCTGTGGGACCAACTCTTAGCCAGGGATGGAGGAGTCAAAATCCGAAGGAGGGAATGGTCTTCACATAGTGATTCTTACCTCATCTTCAGATAAAACTCAGAAATAGAGGTAGCATTCCAAGCAACGTTTTAACACAAATGCTTCCCAGTGTCTACCGGTGTATCTTTCAGAAAAGGGCCCCATTTGTTTTTTGGTTTTTTTTTTTTCATGTTCTTCATTAAAGACAGAAGCACTGCTGAGAACCTTCATGACCACAAGCTTGAGCCACACTTTTCTTCTGAAGGTGAGAACAGAATTCACAGGAACCGCCCTTCCCTGCCACATGGGCACAGCATGGGAGACAGTAAAAGCGTGAGGCAACTGTCTCCCTGCAGCCTCACCCGAGGCAGGGGGTTGCACCCTCAGATTTTCATGGGGGAGGGGTGCCGTTTCAAGGTTGCCTCCATTTGCAATTCTCTAGTTAATAATGACTTTTTGTTTCATATTTGAAAGCCACTCTCCTATTGTTTTTGTAAACCTGTCATTGTTTGTTTGTTTTTCAAGATGGGGTTTCTCTGTGGCTGAAGGTTTTCCTGGGTCCTGCTTGGTCTGTAGCCACTTAGACCCAACTAAACACACAGGCTTATATTAATTAAAACTGCTCAGCTGTTAGCTCAGGCTTACTACTGACTAGCTCTTACACTTAAACTCAGCCCATTTCTGTTAATCTATATGTTGCCACATGTCCCGTGGCTTTACCTGTGTGCCATTAAATGCTGCTCCCTAGATAGCAGGCTGGCATCTCCTGACTCAGCCTTCCTCTTCCAAGAATTCTCCTTGTCTGCTTATCCAGGCTGTACTTCCTGCCTGGCCAATCAGCATTTTATTAAACCAGTGTACAAAAGCATTATCCCACAGCATTTCCCTTTTCCTGTTTAATTAAAAAGGAAGGTTTTAACTTTAACGTAGTAAAATTACATGTAATAAACAGTTATCAAGCAAGAATTACAGCTACAATATCTAGTCTATTTATATTTGGCAAAATTAAAGAAAATATTCTATCTATCCTATATTTGTGAGTCTAAAGTTTCATATATAATTTATATTTTATCATAACCAAGGAAAACCATAATTATAACTATCTAGTCTTCAACTACATCAAAGACCCCAGAAGGATATAATATCACTTAAATAAACAGGAAGTATATTGTAATATTGTAAGCAACTTCCAAAAATCTAGAATGACAGAGACAGCTGGCTACCTGGACAGTTACCCAAAGTTCTTCTGCAATGTTGGGGCATCCATGTTCAGCCCATAGGCCTAGAGTCTCTCAGTCACTTCTCTCTGTGTCCTGTAGAATGTCTGGCAGTTTCTTCTGTGAAACAGGAACCTGAAAGACCATTTTGCCTTGCAAAGTTCAGTGGTCACCTTCCCATGGGTCCTGCATATCCAGTCAATACAACATTTTGTCAAGCAGTCCAGGCAAGAACAGTTTCATGCCCAAATGGCTATTTTTGCCAAGAAGAAGATAAACTCCATATGGAGTGTCTTCGACACCCATCTTTCTCTTTGAAGTAAATCAGTGCTGCCAGGAGCAGAGGTGTCTCATTGTCCAGAAAGTCTAAGTTTTTAAAACATTTAAAATTCCATATTCTGTAGATCTTTGAAGTGTTTGAAGATGACCTGTCTATCTGAAATATATCTATGCATGCCTAGAAAACTAAACTAAAACCTTCCTTTTGTTTAGGCAGAAAAGGGGAAGTGATGGGAGAATGCTTTTCTGTTCGCTGTGATTATGTGCCGCTCTGATTGGTTGATAGATAAAGCTGTTTGACCAATGGTGAGGCAGAATAGGGTTAGGCAGGACATTCTAACTAGAGAGGAGGAAGAAGAAAGGCAGAACAGAGGAGACACTGCCAGCCACCGCCATGACAAGCAGCATGTGAAGATGCCGGTAAGCCACGAGCCACATGGCAAGGTATAGATTTATAGAAATGGGTTAATTTAAGATGTAAGATCTAGCTAGCAAGAAGTCTGAGCCATTAGGCCAAACAGTTTGTAATTAATATAAGCCTCTGTGTGTTCATTTGGATCTGGGCAGCTGCGGGACTACGGGACTATGGGAACCTGGCAGGACCAGGAAAACTTCAGCTACATTTCTTTGTGTAGTTTTGGTGCCTGTCCTGGATCTCACTCTGTAGACCACGCTGGCCTCAAACTCACAGAGATCTGCCTGGCTCTGCCTCTCAAGTGCTGGGATTAAAGGTGTGCACCACCACCACCTGGTGTGATTTTTTTTTTTTAAAAAAAGGATGGTTAGACATATAAACAAACCAAGTCTGTGATACTCATTGCAAACATTTTTTTCAAAATTTTCAGCTGGCTTTACATTTAAGATTTATTTTATTCATATGTATATGTGTTTTGCCTGCACAAGTGTATGCATGGGTGTGCGGGAACCCCTAAGAGTCTGGAAGAAAGCATTGGTTTCCCCAGAACGAAAGTTACAGGTGCTGGGAGCCAAACCCGGGTCCTTTGCAGGAGCAGTAATTGCTCTTAACTGCTCAGCCATCTCCTCAGCCCTGATCAGTTTACTTTAGATGATGTTCATATTTTTTTCCATGCAAAAAACCTACCATTTTTGTATGGTCATAATCAATAATCTTTTGTTTTTAATATAGTGTTAGCCAGAGCTAACACTAGAGAGAAGCTGTCATTTCCTCTGCTAATTGTGTCACTGTGTTGGTCCCATGTGTGGTGATATACTGTGTACCCTAGTAAACTTGCCTGAGGATCAGAGGACAGAGCCGGCCACTAGATTAGACATAGAGGCCAGACAGTGGTGGCACACACCCTTAATCCTATCACTTGGGAGGCAGAGATCCGTCTGGATCTCTGTGAGTTCAAGGCCACACTGGGAACAGAGCCAGGCAGTGGTGGCACACACCTTTAATCCCAGGAAGTGATGGCAGGGCGGAGAAAGGTATATAAGGCGTGAGGAAACAGGAACTAAAGCAGTTCAGCTGAGACCCTTTTGGGTGAGGACTCAGAGGCTTTCAGTCAGAGGATTCGTGGAGTTGGTAAGGTAAGAGGTGGTGGCTGTGGCTGCTCTGCTTCTCTGATCTTTCAGCTTTCACCCCAGTATCTGCCTGCAGATCTTTTATTATAAGAACATTTAATATTCGAACACCATCCATGTGGTCTCTAACTGCATTGGAATTTTATCTCTGAGTAACATGCTCTTAATTCCATCTCTTTACACACCTGTGTATTCTAGCATGACTTAAAAGACCATCTCATCCCCATGATTTACAGACACACACTTAAAATATACCAAATTCCCAGATGTGTGGCTGTTGGTTTCTTTTGTTTTTTTGTTTGTTTGTTTTGGCTTGTGCACCATGTTAATATGTTGGTGCCACAGGATTTCATTAAGGTGTATTCCAGCTTCTGAGACACAACCCCTCTCCCTTTTACCTGGTTATTCTTGAATTTTTGTGTCTAATTTCCTCTATTTAAAAAGAAAGCTTGTATGTTTCCTATTATTGTAGGTCATTTTAGAAAATAATTTAGGAAAGAATTGATCCTTTATGATGTTGAGTTGTTCTTTCCAAAAAACAGGTAATGTCTTTATATTTCTCAAGTCTGATTTCAAGTATTATGGGCATGCTTTGGGGGTTTTCCTTGTACAGGTTTGGGTTTTCATGTTAGGTTTATCACTAGGT